CCAAGGGACGAAGCCAATCACTGCATGTGACTCACAAATGGCCAGGAGGTAGGTTTCACTAAGCCAAACTTTACTTCTTTAGTTCACTCTGGAATTAGCAGTCACTCCATTGTCCAGACCAACCTAATGAGCTACACATTAAGATGAGTTCATATAAGAAAAATATCCTCATAAAAACACTGGAGCTCTTAAACTGACCTCCTTCTCTACAACCAGTGGCACCCAAGTGGGAGTCACAAGTAAACAGGCTCCACTGTCAAGAACCAGCAGACATTTGAGCCCCACCTTCCAATGCCAGACAGAAGAGAGCTGTCACCAAGCACACCCGCTGTGGGCTTTCTCCTCAAGGACACACTCTGGGAAATCTCTCAGAAACTCACACCATTCCTTAACTCTGGGAACTTGAGACACTCATTCTACACTCATGTTGAAAATGGAAAAGTCACATTCAAAAAAGAAAAAAGCTCAATGTCATGCGCATTCACCCTTAATCACAATGGCTACAGTCATCAAAGGGAAGAAAGCAAATCCAGTTTAATTCAATCATTTGATTTTTCTATCTGCTAAAACCAGAAGGGGGGATATCTCACTTCTTTGTTCAGTCTTAATGGTCATGCAAAATACGTTTTTTTGTAATTTGCACTATATTATTTTATTTACAATATATTGATGTTATTCATAATTTTTAAAGTTTAGCAAATTTGTATTTGTGACATGCCAAAGTATTCTGTTGATATAAGAATAAAACATAATTAGCAAAATAGTTTTATTATCTAGGTGATTAATAGTAGGTACTCCTGTTATATTATCTTCTAAAGTAATAAAAAATCAGAACTAGAAATATTACTGTTAGCTTTACTAATAGGCTTGCGTTTAATGTTCTGGTTTGTAGAGTAATTTAAGAGATTTTATATTGATAAGCAATACATTTGAAAAGAAACTCTAATATCTTGATTCACAACCTATTTTAAAGTAATTTAATAATTTCCCAGTAAATGTTCCATAGTTTCTATACTTAAAAGCTTTATGCCATCAATCTTATTAACTAATTAGCCTTTCAAAGAAACTTAGTAACACAATGATTTTCCTCACAGAAATTTAACAATTCTAGACAATAAACACAGACTTTATTTCCTAAATAGAGAATATATAAATCTGTGTTTCCAACAGAAAGGTGTCATGACAGCTACATTTGTGCCAACAGAACACTGTATTTATGTCCATGTACATATAGAGATATGTAAATGAAATGGATACAAAATTTCAAATTTGGAGAAACCATATCAGCAGAAAAGTTTTTCAGGTACATGTCCGGTTTGTGCAATTTATTAATAAAACAACTACTCTTTTTTTTTAAACAGCACATTTTTTTATTTTAAAAAGTTTAGTGCTTATGAATAAAAGCACCTTATTAATATCTGTGAATATTATATAACACATAGCAGTTATTCACAGAACATATAATGATACATACATTTTCATGCCTTTATGGACCTATAATTCTAGAATTATAACTATAATTCATTTAAAAATTTTATTTATTTATTTATTTTTGTTAACTATAATTCATTATTAATTTGTAGTAACTATTACTAAAGTGCCTCCATTTTATGAAAAGCAGGCCTAAAGCATGAGCATATTAATCATCTGGCCTTGACAGAACGACTAGATGGCTGACTGGAGGAAACAGAGGCCGAGGCTCTAGACAGATGGCTTTAGCCCCTAGATCAGTGATTTACAACTGTTAATTCTGTGCAACCACAGGGGATCTTGACCATCTTTAGTGGTATTATACACTTCTCTTAAAAAAACAAAATGAGTATCATAAAAAGAAAAGCACAAAGGATTGGAATGAAGAAAATGGGGGAAGGGGGGTTGTTACTCTGTGAGGGTGAAAAGGATAACTACTGCATTGTTCTGTACACCTGAAACTAACAATAAAAAAAAAAAAGAAAGAAAAGGCATGTGATAGTGAAAGTGTCACACTCAGGAGCCGAGCTGCTGTGGGAACCATGTTTCAGGTCTTCCGTGAGTTAGCGTTAACTGGGTTCCCCAACTAAGGGCCAGGTAAGCATGGCAGAGCCCCCGCTGACCCAAATGCTTTAGGAACTGTTTAGGGATGGATTAACTGTTGACTCTCCTTGACTTTAATATTTATTGGAAAACTTTCTATAAGACTATCTTGCTAGCTTGGGAGAAACCCATGTTGAACCCCGTTGAAAGTTTCTTGATTTTGATGATCTAACTATTCTAAAGCTGGGGCAGCAAAGGTTTTCTTAAAAGGCCAGACAGTGAATCCGCTAGGCTGTGCTGGCCACAGGACTGGACAGGGAAAGCAGCCAGTCAGTCTGTAAACAAATGGGCGTGGTTGGACAGCAACAAAACCTTGTTTATAAAAACAGTCTAGTGGGCTGGATTTGACCCATGAGCCATAGCTTGCCAACTTCTCAGCTAGAATATCTTTATACTAAAAAATACTTCTTCCACAACTTTTCAAAAGTCAGTTAAAAGGGGCCCTGTCAGTTAAGTTATTTTTCATTAGACAAGAAGTACATATCCTGAAAAAGCTGTATCAATTATGGACTCAGATTGGGCACTTGTGATGAAATACTTGGGATGAGACTGAAGTTTACCAGGGAACCACCTAAACAAAGAGCATTTGCACCCTGTGATCTGCACAAAGGGGACTGATACTCAACCTACCTAAGAAAATAAACTTAAAGTACTACTACAGTTATAGGTATACACCTAAGATTATTAATTAAAAATAAATTGTACCTACTTATTAAAGTATCAGACGGAATCTTCACTTCAAAATCGTTTACCTTCAATTAATATATGCATGAAATCAGTAAAACAGTTATTTACATAAAACTGTCCCATAAATCCCTATTGTTCTCTAATTCAGATTGCCTAGCTTTCAGTTTCACTGAAACATGAGCTATTCATTCATTCACTCATTCATTCATTGATAAATATTTATTGAATGTTTATTAGCAGATTGGCACTGTGTTATTGGCTGAAGACAAGATTTCAATGAAGTCTGACAGTTAAGGAATTCTCAGTCTGGCAAGGAATCTCCTTGGAAAATAACAACTAATTGTGACAAAACAATAATATTATTGTCAGATTAATCTAATATTAAAATTAATTTTCAAGTTTCAGGAAATGCTCTAAGTATCAGATAGTTTTACAAATAAGTATTACATCATTTCCACATATACCTCTATAATTTTTCATTATTTAGTTGTACTTGTATAAATGAAATAAAAAATGAGATATATTTGATTTCCAGATAGATAATAAAACAAAACAAAACAAAGTGGTGTATGCCACAAGATCAAGTATTCAACATTTAAAAAAAGCCCTAGAAGCAGAAGATTATGCATAGAATGACGCTATTTGTATGTTTACAATAAAGATACCTGGAACATTTCTGAAGGAAAGTTAACAGTGGACCTGAGGACAGGGTTGAGAGTCACTGAGAGGGAGAGAACTTGTACTTTTCTCCTTACACCCTCCTCTACTGCTTACTCTTCTTTTAAATAAAAGAAGTATTAATTTTAAAATAAATTTTTTAAAAAGAAAGTGATTAACATCAACAAAGACAAAAACAGTTCTCATTATCAGATATGCAAATAAAGGATTCTGAGGGGTATAGTGAAATTTATCTTTTCATGCTAAAACTAAGAGCGCTTTTCTCTATCCTAACCTGATCCAAAACAATTGACTTCGTGCATTCTTTTGCAGGTGGAAATGTTAAGAGGCGAAAAGCACAAAAACCCAAACAATGTGTATAAACACATTTGAACTAACGAGGCAGGGACTCTCATTTACTGAAGAGATTTCTTGAGCAATCTGCATACTACATGCTGTAGGCAAGGAGACCTAAGGTCTTCCTACTCCTTTTTTGTCTACTAAGGACACCCAGAACCACCAAATTAATTAAAGAAATTATTCTGGCTGCTTGTTAACTGCTTTCCTTTCAAGCAACAGAGATGACAGGCCAGGCTCGTCTGCTTTAAGAGCATCTCAAGTGAATTTTTAACTTAGGCAGATATAAAATAAAAATGTAGTGACACTAAAGATACCTTTATAAATCCATCACTTTAAATTTTTTTCATAACTTGGTTTAATTGTGTTGCTATATAATCACAAAAAATTTCACTGAAAAAGTTAAAAGCATTACTAGTCATTGGGTGTGAAACAACTTATAACACTGGACTGCTCATTTATTCTCAAGCTAAAAGGCTACATGATAGTGAAATTTAACAAAAATTCTTAAATTGTACAGATAGTTTTTAAATTGTAAAGAGTACACATGTTTTGTAAAGGTTTCTCATGCTTCAATAAATCAGAAGTAATGACATGAATACCCATTTTCTTATTTAGAACCTAATATTTGGAACAGGGGACCAAGCATGTTGCTAACAGTCTCAAGGACAGCTATGAAAAGGCAACAAGGCAATTCAAACAAACATGGTTTTTGAAAAAACTGACAATGATTCAAAATGTAAGAACTGATTTCAAAATTATTTTAAAATATACTCTAGAAGCACAGTCATTTCTGGATGACTGTTTAAATTAAATGTAAAGAAAAACTATTGAATATCCAACCGATTCAAAGTAAAAAATTATGTAGATTCTACAAGTTGAGTCTATATGAATAAGAGTGACTTCCAGACAAGCATCAGTTTACAACTTACTCCTTTGCATTCATAAGGAAACTTCCTAATAATTAGGTTGAAAACATGCTTGATAAGACCTACCATTGAAAATGGTGAAATTGGAAAATGTTTGCTTTTTCATGTTGAAAAAAATCCTAGGAAACTTAAGTAACTAAGGCTGGATGTACACGTCTTCATTTACTACTTCTGACATCCATAATAGTTAAAATGTAAAGTACGCCCAGTCCATACAGTACAAATGCAGAAAATACATACAACTTTTTGTTGTTTTTGAAGTCGAAAATTCTCTTTCTCAGTAATACATTTACTAACCTCTTCTAGGACTCTCGTGATTGAAGAGAATGCCGTTCACTGCAAAGAGGTTATACGCCTCGCGGAAGTTCACCACGATCCAGTAGGCATAGAGTTTTGCTGCCCCTGTTGGAATAATTTTTAAAAAGCCAATTAAAGACAGTGATTATATAGAAGACAGTGTCTTATTATTACAAAACAGTGACTGCCACTCATCTTAAGTAACAACGTTCAAAAATTGCAATTTGTAATGTATCAAGATAGAAAAAGATGAGTCAAAAGCTAAAGACAAAAATAAAGGTTCCTTTGCCAGTTAATAATGTGCACAAAGAAATATTTAAGAATTTCTTACTTTTGTAATACCCATGGTTCTTTCCTTCACAATCTAACTGATTTCGACTACAGTGTGTGCTACATATCAAGTGGGCCTTGACCTTCTTAGGTCTGATTCCCTTCTGCTTCGTATTAAGGAATTAGAAAGTGGGAAATATAGGATCTCAATATTTGAGCTGCTTAGAAATTTTATCACTGAAGGCTTTATGAATACTGTTTTAACAAATATATAAGATGAAATAGACTTTTTTGTTTTTTTAAGGGTTTGAACTCAGGGAGACTTTCATCGGGGAGATAAAAAAACATGAAACCTTATCAGTTCAGCACAATCTCACAACAGTTCAGAAAAAAGAATCATGTTGTGTCTAATTTTCCTTTCAAAGTGATCTGTATGAAACAAAGGGTTGAGTGAACATGGACTGGTGAGGTGAGGTGGTAATTGCACCCTGGAGGCAATGGCTGGGAATACTTGTAGTTAGCAATGTAGGCTTCTCAACAAGTCTAGTCACTTTAGCTTATCTTAATGTTTATCTCACACTCCAATGACTTCAGCCATAAGATGCAACAGAATTAAAGCAGAAGTGCACACATGCACCACACCCATAGAGAGCCGCACAAGGGCATTCTCACCATAAGGTGACCTAGGGTAGAAGGGCGTGGTCTCCTTCTGGGGTATTTCTTGCACTTTCCCGTAAAGTTCACTCGTTGAGGCTTGGTAGAACTTCACAGAGTTGATAAGGCCACAGGTCTTAACTGCATCCAGAAGCCGTAATGTACCCACTCCATCCACATCTGCGGTATATTCTGCCAGGTCAAAAGAAATCTGAAAACAGCAAAAGGCAGTGATGCTGCATTAAGAGTAACAGAGACTTTTTACAGTTTCACACACTTAGAAGAGTTATGTCTGTGAGATAACATTATTTTCTAATAACAGACTAAGAGTGTGGATGTCATCTATTTCCAACATCAAATATCTGGGGAATACCTTAATAAGTGTCTATGGTAAAATGAAGAACACTAGAACCACACATGTCACCTTCTCATTCTGGGCTCAGGTCCCTAGGGCAGTGTTTCTTAAAGTGCAGCCCCTGCTCCGCATCACCTGGAGTGTTCCCTAAAACAAGGCTTGAATGGCTCCGGCTCCAGGGCAGGGGCCTAGAAATGCACATTTTATTGAGTCCCAGTTGATTTTTATAACCAGAGAAGAATGAGAACGTGCTTTAGAACACAGTTGATTTTAAAAAGGATGGTTTTATTTTCTATTTTAAATTAAGATATCCATACTGTCCCATATGGCAGGAATTTTTTTCTTTTTCCATAGATGGACACTTAGGTTGTTTCCATGTCTTGGCTATTGTAAATAATACTGCAGTGAACATGGGGGTGCAGACATCTGAGTTAGTGTTTTCGTGCCCTTCAGATAAATCCCCAGAAGAGGAATTTCTGGGTCATAAGGTAATTCTATTTTTAATTTTTTGAGGCATCTTCATACTGTTTTCCATAGTGGCTGCACAGATTTGAAGTCCCACCAATAGTTTCCTTTCCTCCACATTGTTGCCAACACTTCTTATGTCTTGCCTTTTTCATAACAGCCATTCTAACAGGTGTGAAGTGGTATCTCATTGTGGTTTTGATTTGCATTTCCCTGATGATTACTGATATGGAGCACCCTTTCAAGTACCTGTCCACCATCTGTATGTCTTCCTTGGAAAAATGTTTACTGAGTTCCTTAGCCCATTTGAAATTGGATTTGTTTTTTCTATTGAGTTGTAGGAGTTCTTTATTTATTTTGGATATTAGCCCTCTAACAGATATATGATTTACAATCATTTTCTCCCATTCGGTATGATGCCTTTTCATTTTGTTGATGGTTTCCTTTGCTGTGTAGAACATTTTTACTTGATACAGTCCCATTTGTTTATTTTTGCTTTTGGTGCTTTTGTTTTTGGTATCAGATTAAAAAATCATCACCAAGACTTACGTCAAGGAGCTCATTGTCTGTATTTCACTCTAGGAGTTTTATGGTTTCAGGTCTTACATTCAAGTCTTTAACCCGTTTTGAGTTGATTTTTGTATATGGTATAAGAAAGTGGTCCAGTTTCATTCTTTTGCATGTCGCAGTCTAGTTTCCCAACACTATTTATTGAAGAGACTGACCTTTCCCCATTGTATATTCTTGGATCCTCTGTCATAAGTTGACTACGTGTGATTTCTGGGCTCTCTATTCTGTTCCGTTGATCTATGTGTCTATTTTTATGCCAATACCACGCTGTTTTGATTACTATAGCTTTGTCATATGAGTTAAAATCAGAAAGCATGATACCCTCTTTCTCAAGATTGCTTTGGCTTTTAAGAGTCTTTTGGATCCATACAAATTTCCCATGGTTTTGACTAGCACTTCCTTAATTACTAATGATGCTGAGCATCCTTTTTACTTGCTTATTGGGCATTTGTACATCTTATTTGGAGAGATGTCTATTCAGATCCTTTCCCATTTTTAAGTTGGGTTATTTGACTTTTCTTTATTAAGTTGTAAATGCTCTTTATGTGTTCTGGATAAAAATCTCTTATAAGACATATGACTTGCAATTTTCTCTCATTATGACAGTTGTCTTTTCATTGCCTTTTTTTCCCCCTCTACGCTACATTGAGATATAACTGACATATAATATTGTGTATGTTTAAGGTGCACAAACACTTTTCACTTTCTTAATGGTGTCTTATGAAGCATAAAAGTCCAATTCATCTAAATTTCTTTTGTCATTTGTGCTTTTGGTGTCTTATCTTAGAATGTTTTGCTTCACCCAAGAGTGTGAAGTTTTACTCCTATGTTTTATTCCAAGAGTTTTATAGTCTTATTTCTTACATTTACATTTTCAATGCAGTACATTTTTGGTTAATTTTTACATGTGGTGTGCGTTAGAGCTCTGAATTCATTGTCTGCATATGGATATTAAGTTATACAGACACCATTTGTTGAAAAGGCTATTCTTTTCCCCTTGGATGTTTAGTGCTGGGCCGTTCCATTTTAGGAAAAGCATTTGGATGTTTAGTGCTGGGCCGTTCCATTTTAGGAAAAGCATTGGCCCCATGTTGAGGGGACAGTGCACAGAGCAGGCCTCAGGAGATGGAGGTGTCAGGGTAGTGGACCACCTGGGGGTACCTTTGGCTGACCACTTAACTGTTCTTCCTGGCTGTGGTTTTCTTACTGTACAGTGCTACAATCACACATTTACGTGACACTCTGCAATTAAAAAGCACTTTTGTTGGAGCTGTACAACAATTCTAGGAGAAACAGAAACCAGGTCCTGAGGTTCAGAGAGACTGACTTGATAAAAGTCACCCTGAAAGTGTGGAGCTACGGGGCTGGGAATGAAAGCAGTCTCCACCACTTGAATGGGGCTCACCACAAAATCAGGGCTCAGCCTTTCTAAGGCTCAGTCTCTCTGAGCTCATGAAAGCCTCAGACACTGACAAGAAACAAAAATGCACACATGCACGATTGTGCACACAAGTGCATGTGCGTGTACACATACACACACACAATGTTGCCTGGGGATTCATGGATTACAGATGAAGAAAACCTGAACTAAATGATCTTTAAGGTCCTTTTTAACACTAAGTATCTGCCAAGCCAATATGTAAATATTTTTTATGTATAAATGTATATCCAATATTTTCAGTCTTTGTGATGGGACCAGTCAAGTTCAAATAGCAAAGAGCATACTGTTTTTTTCCTTTTATTTCTTTGGCTGTTTTTAAATTTATATAAATACTATCCAAACAGCTATACAAAAAGAAAAGCTGGCATTTTTTGAGTACTCAATATGGTTCAGACCTCATTCTAAGCATTTTGCATATACACATTATTTAATCTTAAGGACAGCTAAGCACTGAAACTTAGGCACGAGGCTGTAGCATGAGTTGGAGCCACATATTATATTCATGGAGAATATTATATATATTCTATATATTATATAATCATGTTATATTCACAGTGAACCAAAACTTCTTGTGTAACTGCCTCAGTCACTGGAACATAGGTTAAGGAGACTTTGCACAACTTAAAAGCTTTTAGCTATGCTAGGAAATCCAATTAGGCAAGGAATAGGTCCTTATTCAGAGGACTGAAACATGGGAAATAATTGAAAGCAGGCTGAAGACATAAACGAGGCAGGGGAACTGGGGTACACAATTGGGGTAAGGTGGTTGCATGTGTGCAGTTTTAGATACTTCATCAAGAATTAAGCATATGGGGCTGGCCAAATGGCTCTTTGGTTAAGAATTGGCTTGGGAGCGCGAGCTCTGAGCAACAGGGCCGCTGGTTCGGATCCCACATTGGCCAGTGATACTGTGCCCTCTACAGCTAAGATGGTGAACAACAGCTTGACCTGGAGCTGGGCTGCCATGAGTTGCTGGTGACGATGTAGGCTGCAGTGGGGTTGCAGTGGGCTGCCACGAGCTACTGTGAGTGGCCGGCAGCCCGCGTGAGCAGCCATGAGCCACAGTAAGCGCGGCTGTCCAATGGCCGCCAAATGACTGTCTCATCCAGGAAGAGCGCAATGATCACAATACCAACATGGGCCAGTGAAGCGCCATCCTCCACAACTAGACTGAAAAACAAAAGGACAGCAACTTGTCTGTTCCCCTTCCCTGACTCCCCAACGCTGTTCCCTCCAACTCCCCAATAACAAAAACAAACAAACAAACAAAAAAAGCATATGTTTGATATTCAAAATGCGGGAGAATACAATTGGCTGATAAATCTATTTGTTCACCAAGTGTTTTATAATATACAGCAACGAATTAACTGGCTTCCTTTAAAAAAAAGGGAAAAGAGACATTGTAGCTTGATAAAGTCCTAATGGTTACAAGGGTGATTCTGAAATACACGAAAACATCAGGGATCTGGAAAGCTACACATAGCCAGCCCATAGGCTCAATCTGTCCCCATGCCTGTTTTTGTAATAAAGTTTTATAGGAACACTGCCACACTCATTCACTTCTGTGTTTTCAATGATTGGTTTCACTCAATGACAGAGTTGAGTAGTTGTGACAGAAATATTTTCTACAAAAATAAAACTATTTACTATCTGACCCCTTTACAGAAAGGGCTTTCTGACCCCTGCACTACAAAGCATAGTTATATATGAAAGCAAAGATAGAGCAATTTTTACATTTTTTATCATTATCTTTTCCATATTTTCTCAATACTACACAATGAAAATGAAGTGTTTCCAATCAGGAACACAGCTACATTTTCTGAGGTGTGGAGACTCAGTTAACAGTACAAATTTATTTCACCTAATAAGGAGAACAAAAAACTAGACTGATTAAAAATAATAATAATAATAAAACAGACTACAGAATACCTGCCTAACTTCCCTTTCTAGTAATGTTTTCTTCACTTGGCTTCTGGACCACAACATTCTTCTAGTTCTCTCCCCACTTCACGGCAGAAGACTTCCAGGCCCTCGTGCTGTCCCTCGTCCCCACTGCTGCCCTGAGGCTCGGGCACCCACTCGGCAGGCGTCTCACGGAGTCCAGGGCCTCCAGGCACCAGCTCTGTGCATCTGGCCCAAAGGCCCATCTCCAGTGCCCTTATGTTCCGAATGGAGGAGTAGCCTCAAGTACCTTCCTGTCTAGCTCGCCTGCCTAATAGCTCCTCACACTGAGCTGGCCCCAAACAGAATAACAGATGTTGTCACCAAAGTTCATCTTCCTTCGGCTGCTTCCTCTCCATAAATGGCACCTGTTTGCGTACAACTCAAAACAAAAACTTAGGAATCATGGCTGACTCCTCCAGTCCTTCACAGCTCAGAA